TTCAGGCAAATCCAAAAGAGTCTCACATGAAATCTGTTAAAAGAATTCTTAAATATCTAAGAGGAACAACAAATGTAGGTTTATGGTATCCAAAAGGAGTCTCACTAAGTCTGATAGGTTATTCAGATTCAGACTATGCTAGGTGTAGACTTGATAGCAAGAGCACAAGTGGTACTTGTCACCTACTTGGAAGTGAACTTGTCTCATGGCATAGCAAAAAGCAAGAATGTGTTGCTTTAAGTACAGCTGAGGCTGAATATATAGTCGCTGGGAGCTGTTGTGCACAAATCCTCTGGATGAAACAACAACTAAAAGATTATGGAACTGAGTTGAACAAAATTCCTTTAAGATGTGATAACACAAGTGCAATCAATCTAACCAAAAATCCAATCTTACACTCTAGGACAAAACATATAGAAATAAGACATCATTTTTTAAGGGATCATGTACAAAAGAATGATTGTGTAGTAGAGTTTGTTGAAACAAATAAACAATTAGCTAATATATTTACAAAACCTCTACCAAAAGAAAGATTTAATCAATTAAGAATTGAACTTGGAATTATCAATGAGTCTTGTTTGAATTGATTGTGAATGTGCACTTGAGTGTGATTGTTTGAATAAAACTTGGTTGATGTGTGTATAGAACATTGAAATATGGTGCATAAAAGTGTCATTTAAGAGTTGAAATGGATCAGGGATGGTTTAAAAGGTTTAAACTAAGAGAAACAAAACTCCTCTAAAATAAATCGATTATAGTAAAATTTAATCGATTATTGTAAGTAAGCCTAGGCAAATAATCGATTATTTGGGAAATAATCGATTATTTGGGAGAAGAAGAATTCTAGAAGTCTCTGGAATAATCGATTATTTGGGAAATAATCGATTATCTGGATAACAAGAAAACTTGGAGCCCTTGTAATAATCGATTATTTGGGCAATAATCGATTATCTGGGCAAGTCAGAGGAAATAACCCTCTGGAATAATCGATTATTCTAAAAATAATCAATTAATTAGTGCAGACAGGGTTTTTCAAGAGATTTTACTGATAAATAATCGATTATTTGCGCGACCCTTGGTTTTCCAGATAGTTTTTGAACGGTTTTATTCGCACCAACTCCCAACCTCCCACTTTCCTTCATAAGTGGCACCTCTTTTCTACCCAATCCGGTGTCTAGGGCTTTAATAACACCTAACCCTCTTATTCTACAAATAACACACACATTCTCTCAACTCTCACACAAACCCTAACCCCTCTATCTCACTTTCTTCTTCATCTTCTCTTCTCCAACCAAGAACCCATCTTTAATCATAAAATGGCCTCATCTTCCAAGAGAATCAAGAAGCTTGAAGTTAGGGGGAGCAAAAAACCTCTGCCCACAGGAGCTGAGCAACTGATCTCAAAATGGTTTGCTGACAAAGAAACCCAAGACTACTACTTTGAGTGGTTTGCGGGTAGGAGAATCATTCCTCCGAAGACTTTGAAGCTGGAATGGTTCAAGAGTGAGGGTTTCAATTTTCTTCCTTTTTTGGAGCATCAAGAGCTTGGGAAGTTCTTAGAGTTGGAAGGTCCGTATTACCTGGAGCTTATTAGTCTGTTCTTGTGTTTTGCCTCAAGTAATGAAGGGATAATGCAATTTGTGGTGAAAGACAAGTTGATAAAGCTTGATGGACCAACCTTGAAAGAGGTGGTTGGGCTTAGTGGAACAGGAAGTATAAAGCCCCAACCCTTCAATTTTGGTGACTTTGAAGAGTTGACAACTTTTAGAGATTGTCAAAGGAACCCGGAGACCATAAATTACAACAAATTTCTAGCTGGAGGTATGAAGAAAAACTCTAGGTTGATTTCTTTTATAATAGCTTGGATGCTTAAGCCTAGACTTCATAACCATGCTCAAATGTCTAGAGATGATATTTTGCTAATGCATGTTATTAAGAAAAAGGAAAAGATAGATTGGGTGTCTGTGGTGAATGATTGTATCTGGAAGGCTAGGAGAAAGGAGGATGGTCTAATACTATATGCCTTATTGCTGTCTAGAATTTTTGAAAAAGCTGGTGTGGATCTTCAAGGAGAGAAAAAGATAATTCTCTATGCGTCAAATAAGATTGAAAAATCTTATTTGCATCATCTGGGGATGCTAAAGCAAGCAGATAAATGGGTATTCAACGGTGATGTTCCTCCAACACCAGAACCGGCAACGGATGAAGATCGTGTTCCATCTCATGATGTTGCACTTCAACTCAGCCTAAGAGTTGATGGATTACCAATCATTGGTCCAACATTATATGATTAGGAAGAAATGTGTTCCACACATCTCGGCATTGTGCTTATCAAAGGAGAGTTATTATTCAGCTCTATGATAAAGCTAAAGTGGTGGAGAGAAATTATGTTGGAATTACCAGAGGAACCATCTCAAGAAGAATTTCACGCCCATTGTAGGGCATATATATTAGGTTTAATTGGAGGTGTTTTGATGCTTGACAAAATAGGCAATAAGGTACATCTTATGTATTTATCTTTATTAATAAATCTTAGAAGAACACGATGATATAGTTGGGGGTCTGCTTGTTTAGCTATGTTATACAGGAAAATGTGTAGAGTCACAAATGTTATGAGTAGAACAATGTGTGGTTGTGCATCACTATTACAATCCCGGGCATGGCATCGCATGCCATATATTGCACCAGTTTCTAGAGTACCACCAACATTCCCTTTGGTCTGCAAATGGAGCGGGGCTAGAGTACTCAACTTTCAAAATGTACCTCACAATGATGTTGTGAGGTATAAATCAATGTTTGATCACATTCAGGCTGATCAGGTAAATCTTCATAACAAAGTTTTAATTGTTTCATTTGTTTGGCATATTATCTTAAGTAATAGTTTAATTTATTTGTAGTTTTTATGGGCTCCATATCAAGGCTTGCAAACATCAATATCCATGCAAGCATATAGAGATGCCCAACTGTGGATTTCATGTACCCCCATCATTTGTTTTGCAATTATTGAATGACACCAATCAGATAGAGTGAAATTGTAATTTGGTCTCTTCTAGGATGTCCCTTCTCCATCCAATGATTTGGATAACCTACACAAAATTGACATGAGGGGAAGACAAGATGAAAATTGGGTTACAAGACATGCTCAATGAATCGACATATGGAACAATAGACGTGAGCACACATTAATGGGTTATCTAATGCAAGGCCTATTGTTTCACACACGAGAATACATGGAATGGTACTTGGCCAATTTCATCTATTTCCTATCTGTGCCACGAATACTATAAGATCCAAGGACCCACCAACAGTTAATGACTTCCACAACATTTGAAACTGGTGCGACTTCCATGCCATCGTATGAAGAGACTCATCAACATGTATAAAATCCTCCACACAACATCATGCCACAAGCAAACATAATTGACAAAAGGCATTCATTTGCAACAACTTTAGAGGATTTTTTACAAACTTATTTGGAGTAGATTTTATAACTCCATCTTCAGCATAATCATACATACAATCTCTTTACTAATCGAATTTTGCTAATGAACCTGGTAGTTCTTCAGTTGCATTCCAACAACTAATCATTGATGATGATCCAAATCCTGGTGAGCAACAACCACCACGACATAACCTAGGACGTAATAGATGTCGTCCTCGTTGTGGAATTGGGCACCATTATGGAGATAAAAAATCTTATATAATTAATAAAATAATTTTTGCATAAAAAAAGAAAATATGTTGCTCAAAATTCGACTCTCGGGGAACCAAATTCCAGTGACTACAGAAAATCGTTCTACTTCGATAAATACTTAAGAGGGGCGAGCTCCATCTAAGGATTTTAAAAAAAAATATTATTATAGTAAACAATTCAACCTTTGTATCCCTTTATATATTAGCTTCAAGTTATAGATATTTTTTTAATAATTAAAGATAATTTTCTACAAATTGTGGAGACGAAAAATAATTACGAAAATAATTATTCTCTTTATATATTAGTATAGATAGATAATTAAGGCTATAATTGTACACAAACTATGGAGACGGTAAAAATATTCCTTTTATATATTAGTATAAAAAGTTTATTATATATAGATTTAAATTATATAAAATAAAATCTATTATCGTTACTAGCAGGAAAGTGTCTGCATTGTATTAAAAGAAAAAATAAATAAAAAAGGAAAAAAAAAGAGAAATTACTCATAAAAAAGGTAATTATTGAAAATTAAACAAACGATAAAATGATCCATGTAAAAATGAAAACCAAAAGTAGTTATTGAAAGTAGTATCTCCTTTATATATTAGTATAAATTCATTAGTTTCAATTTCTTAAATTTGATTAAAAATATTTTTTAATTTTTAAAAATAAAAAGATATAATGGTAAAAAAAAAGTAGAGACCAAGGTAATTACTGAAAAGGATATTCCCTTTATAGATTAATATAGATAAAAAATATATTTTTTTAATTTTTTAAAATAAAAAGATATAATAATAAAAAAGAGTAGAGATCAAAGTGATTACCGAAAAGAGTATCCTCTTTATATATTAGTATAAATTATAGTTTAAAAATTATGTAACTATTTTTCGTCTCTACAATTTGTAGACAATTATATCATTAATTATCTATCTATATTAACTTATAAAGAAAATACTTATTCTTGTAATCATTTTTTATTTTAACAATTTGTGATAATTATATCCTTAATTATCTATTTATATTTATACTTCTATGCTTACTCATATATAAAGAGTATAATTCGTAACTGTTTTTCGTTTTTATAATTTATGGATAATTATATATTTAATTATTAAAAATATGTATTAGTATAGTTATATATTAAGTATAGATATTTATTATAATTATAACTTTATTTTGGACCAATTATGTTATACATAAAAAAAAATTATCTGTACAAAAAAAAAAGTGATCTGTTCCAAAAAAAAAAAAAAAAACACACGCTAACTGTTCAAAATTCAAAGTGCAACCATAACAATTCGAGTTGGCGCAAACCAATCAAAACGAGGTAGAACAGACGTCGTTCAAATCCCCACAATAACAAATCAGATTACCCGGCGTGCGTTTCTTCGTCTCTCACCCTTCTCTTTGCAGCAACCGAAACATCCTTTGCAAGTCTGAACCCTAACAATTCCCAATTTCAGGTCCTTCTTACATTTTACGTCTTCTCACTATCGTTATTTCTCACTATCGTTATTTCATAGCCTTTCTCATTTCACCGAAGCCCTGTTTTCGGAATCTGCCAATTCTTTAAGGAGCTTGTTCGATATGCATGCAATTTTGTGCCTGAAAATGTGGTTAACTATGCGCAATTAATCACCATATTAGTTGTTTCTGTTCTTGTTACCTACTTAATTTTAATAATATCGAATTATTTGTTGCTACCGAGAATTTGTTATTCAAGAAAACCGTCTTAGCGTAAAGTTGACCTTATTTCATCTTCATGTAATGTGAATTGATTTGTTTCCATGATTCTGAGATTGTTCAGGCACTTCTCGGTTGGGTCATATTAGGGTGACCGCTTATGCCATGACATGAACGCCTAAAAAGAAGGTGACTATTAATCTCACTAAATATATGGTTTATGCTGATTGCTTATTTTTTTGGTCTATGCTAATTGTTTATGATGTATTGTGTGTTCTTGTGCGTGTTTGCTGTTGATTTTTACAAAATCTTGCTATTGTGATTGTCTTTGTTTTGTCTTTTAATGTTATTACTTGTGATTGTGACCCATTATCGTGCTTATTTGCGGTTGTAGTTGACCGGGGAGGATGCTGAGAGTGAATGTTCCAGATTACAATCCAGTGTTTCATTTTGGAAGATGGTTAATTTGGTCAAGTATTAGTGATATGCAACATAGGTGATTTGATAAGAACTGAAGGGGGGGCACTTGGATTCGCTGCTTATTATGATTTGTGAGAAAGAGATACTTGTGTTGTTGCGGGTTATTCTTGTGCATAGCTAGGGTTGTTTGTTGGTGTGAAGTATAGAAGCTGGCCCCCAGGGGCTATCTGATGTAATGCCACACTCTTTCAAGGTCAGGGCAGCGGCTGTGGTGGG